GGAAGGGTGCCCACAGGGACCAAGATGTGGGGTGGAGCAAGGGTCAGTGCAGGGCACACACAGGAGCAAGGCCAGCAAAGGAGGCATTTGCTGTGACAGCGGGTGCTGGCTGGGTGGGAACATGCCTCCAACCGGGGCGGCAGGGACTCACCCCCACTCATAGTGCCCGCCCGCCCCCTCCTCCAGCCAGCGGGTTAGGAGCTGCCCTGAGGGGCCAGGCCCAGCCTCTCCTCCCAGCGCAGAAAGCTCCCACTACAGCTGCCCCTGCTCCAAGGGGCTGGCGCTCACCCTGGGAAGGGCCCTGTCACAGCCAGTCAGCCTCACGCAGACTTGCCTGAGAGCAGCTCCCAGGGGCCAGGCCTGGGTTGGAGAGCCCCAAGCTCCTGGGGATCTGAGTCCTGGGCCCCCCAGCATTCACCGGCTGGCCAACCCCAACAGCCCAGCTTCCCTGCCCTCCAGTTCAGTGCCCTGCACACTAGGGTTCTGCGCCAGCTCGAGGTTGGGGAGAGAGGGTCCTTGCCCACCCCTGCAGCCGGCTGGCTCTTGGGGCCCAAGGAGGGTGCGCATGGGGCAGGGGGTGGCAGGCTCACATGCATCACCAGGCCAGGCGAGAGGCCCTGGAGAGCCAGGGCCCAGCGGGAAGAACTTGTGCCATCTCCGAGAGCGCCCCAAACACACACATTGCAAATCCCCAGCTCTAATCCCTGGGCCCACACTTTCCACCCTGCACCCTTATCTGCTGCGCCCCAGGGCCGCTGCACCCCTGCCTGCAGCCCAGAGATAGGCCGCCCGCCCTGGGTTGTGTGGCCCCCGCTGAGAGCGCAGGGGAGTCGGGAGGGCTGCTCCCAGGGCACGCCGGGCTACGCAGCAGCACAGCCTGAGTCCAGCACTGCCGTAGCGTGGAGAGAGCGGCTTCAAAGCCAGCCGCATCACGGCCACATCACCCTCCCCACAGCCTAGCAATGGGAAGGGGACGAGAGGGCTTGGGAACCCCTCCGCTGCATGTGTCAGAGGATGGGAAGTCACAGGAACAGCAAAGGTAGGTGCTGGGTGATCTCACTGACACTTCCCCTCAGCTCTGCCAGCACCTCAGCACCAACCCGCAGCCCCCTGGCACCCCAGCCTGGGCTCCCCACCCAACACTGACCCGCAGCCCCGTCAGCCCAGCCCAGCCCAGGCTCCCCACCCAGCTCTGCCATCGCCCCATAGCACCAACTGCAGCCCCGTCACCCCAGCCCTAGGCTCTCCCCATCTCCCTCTGCTGATGCCCCTCAAACCCAAACTGCAGCCCCCCTTCCCCATTATTTGTGTCCTGGGCCTTTCCTCAGAGCTGCCTGCCTTCGGGCGGGGGGAGGGGACACAGTCTCTGGGGAACACACACCTGCAACCGCTGCCCTCCCCTCCTCCTCCTCCACTAGTGACGGGTTAGGCACAGTCCGGGGATTCCTGGCTCGCGGCCGGCCCAGCCCAGGCACCTCTCCATGCAGGGCCCCAATGCTCTTCCTCGCCCGCCCCCAGAGCCCTCGGATACAGCCTGGCTGACAGCGGCTCCCGGAGCCCACTGCACAAACGCTCTGCCCATCCTTCCACTTCACTAAGCGTCTCCATGGCTGTGGCCGTGTGTTCGCCTGCCTGGGGGAGCCTGGGGAGAGCGGGCGGCTAACAGGGTCAGCACGGCAAGGGCCAGGAACAGTCCTCGGGGTCATTTCCCTCCCTCCACTTGCAGCGTGGGGACTGGCTCCACGGAGAGTATCCCTGCAGCCTGGCCAGGGCGAAGGGAGACCCCGGCCAGCCCCAGGGGTCAGGCTGGGGAGCTGCCCGCCCCTGGGGAGACACAGGCGGGACGGGACGAGGAGCCCTTGTCTCTCCTGGTCCCCAGCCTGTGAGACGTGCTCGCTCTCCCCGGTGCGCTGCAGACTGGCCCTTCTGCCTCAGCTGTAGGCGGCCCAGGGCGGGAGGGAGCCGAACAAGGCAGGAGTGAGGCTGGCCTGAAATGCCTTGGCACAGGGACCTAGACCAGCAGGGGAACTTCAGATCTAGGCTCTGCTGCCTGGGCCCGGCTCTAGCCCTGGACAAATCCGCACCGGGGATGAGGGGACAGGGCCCCCTTTGCCAGCCCTGGCAGAGCCCCGGAGAGGGCGGGTCCTGGGTAAAGACACCTCTGCTTTCCCCCGCGGCGGGAAGTGACCCGCCTGGGGTGGGGACTAACTGTGGGAACGTCACTGAGGCATATTTCTTCCCTCCTCTCGCCCTGTGGATTAGCCGCTCGGGGCCCAGTGGTGCCTGTTAACCTGACCCTGCCTGCAACAGAAGCTGCTCATTAACCTTCCCCTTCCTTCCGCCTTCGCCGCTGCTTCCTCCACCCACGCCAGCTCTCCTCCCCACTCACAGGCGCCAGGGGCAGGCGCTGGCAAAGCCCTGGCACGGGCTGTACAGTCGGGGCGCCCAAAGCAAGCCTGGCAGTGTGGGACAGCACTCCCCAGCACACCGAGGCCAAAGTCTCCCGCAGGAGGACGGGGCTGGGGAAATGGGATCCGGGCAGCGCCGCAAAGCCCGGGTCATTCCAGAGCCCCCAGCAGCGCTGACAACGGTTCCTCTTCGCTGGCCCTCGCGCTGTGCTGGGGGGAGTTTCTGGCTGGTTCACATCACTGAGGGAAAGCGACAGTGGCAACTGGTTACACCATGAGGTCAACACTTGTCCATTGCCAAGCAAGCCGGGGCGTCCGTGCCACCAGCACGAGGTCGCTCCCGTTGGATCCACCCCACACCCACCGAATGCAGGGACAGGCCAGGCGGCCAGTCCTACATGGGGCCTGCATCCCTGCATGGCCTCTGGGATACGGCAGCAAAGCAAAGGCACCCTGAGTGCCAGCGAGAACGCTGTGCTGGGAGATCTCGCCAGCTGGCTGCCCCGGGGAGGGGCGAGACATCGCTCAGGTCTAGCACCCCGGCAGGGCTGCGGCCCCTCCCTTTGCAGCCTGGTCCTGCCTGGTCCCCAGTCTGAAACACAAGGGGCCCTTGCTGCCCAGGCTTGCTGGGCAGAGCAGCCTGTCAGCAGCTTCCCTCCCCGCTCCAGGGTGCTCCCAGGCGCTCTCCCTGCCTCTCTGGTTTGGGAGGCGGCGGGTCGGGCAGATGGGCCCTGAGAGCCAGGCGGCGATGTTCTCTAGTGCAAAGGTGGAGAGGGAGGAGAAAGGCTCCACTGCGGAATCTGGGGCAATGGGGGCGCACGAGAACTCTCGTGTAGCCTTTTATTGTGGCTAGGACCCACTGATCTGAAGCTGTTTCCTGGATCTGTGTCCTGGGAAATCTCCGTGGGCCCAGTGTCCACTCCCAAGCGAAGGGGCGTCTGGGAGAGCAGAACTCGGAACCTGCCTGGGAGCATACAGGCCCACGGGCAGCCCCACGGGGCTCAGCGACGGTGGGGCCAGGCCTTTTGTGCTTGACTAAAGGGAGCCACTTCTTTGGCTCCCCTGCATCACTCAAGGCCTGGGCCAGGCGACCCCGCAGAGGTGACCTCCCCAAAGGAGAGACCCACCCGACGAAGCTTAGATCCCATCACCTGACCACTCCCTCAGCTGGAGGAAGCAGCAAGTTCCCATCACGCCTGCCACCGCCTGGGCCAGACCCGCAGCAGAGTCTCCAGCAGAACCACCCGCAGGTCGGGAGGAAGGAAGTAGTGTCCAGTTGCTCGGCTAGGCAGGCGGCCCGGCACGCGAACTAACTGCTAATGGGGCGCGAGGTCGCCCGGACCTTGTGTCTGGGCAGGGCCGGCAGGGTTCTGCTGTGCCCGAGGGAGGCTGCAGAACCCAGCCGAGGCCCGAGGGGGAGAACTCACCACAACGCTGCTGCAAGAGTCCCCGGTCCTGGCTTCCTTCCACAGGGCCCTTCATACAGTTACCAGCTCTGGCGCATTCCCGCCCGTGCCCCCTGGTGCCGGGATGCCCCCCGCCAGCACCTACCCCGCCATTCTCCGCCCCTGCCCGCACCTACTCCAGCATTCATCCGTCCACCCACCTGCACCTACCCCACCATTCGCCCCCCTGCCCGCACCTACCCCACCATTCGCCCTCCCACACACACCTGCCCCACCATTCGCCCACCTGCCCTGCCATTTGCCCCCCGCCCGCACCTGCCTGTACCTGCCCTGTCATTCACCCCCCCGCCCACACCTACCCCACCATTCGCCCCCCCCGCCCGCACCTGCCTGTACCCGCCCTGCCATTCGCCCCCAGGCCCGCACCTGTCCCGCCATTCCCCCCAGTCCCACATCCTGCCTGCACCTGCCCCGCCATTCACCCCCATGCACACCCTGCCCTGATATTCACCCGTGCACCCTGCACTCCCTGCCCTGCCATTCGCTCCCATGCAGCCCATGTCTGCTCCCCCATTCGCTCCTATACGCCCTGCCTGCACCCTGCCATTCGCCCCCAGGCCCGCACCCTGCTCCGCCATTCGCCCCCAGGCCCGCACCCTGCCCCGCCATTCGCCCCCGGCCCGCACCCTGCTCCGCCATTCGCTCCTGGAGGCCCTGCCCGCACCCTATGCCCGTGCCCTGCTCATCTGAATTTCAGCCTCAGTAGCTCGGGTGCGCTTTGATTTGCCTGGTGTCACAGCGGAGAGCACCCGGGGCTGGGGTCTGCCAGGCAGGATGCCTGCTGGGGTCTGCTAGGAGGGTGGTGAAGCACTGGAATGCTTTACCTAGGGAGGTGGTGGAATCTCCTTCCTTGGAGGTTTTTAAGGCCCGGCTTGACAAAGCCCTGGTTGGGATGATTTAGTTGGGAATTGGTCCTGCTTTGAGCAGGGGGTTGGACTAGATGACCTCCTGAGGTCCCTTCCAACCCTGATATTCTATGATTCTATGATGCAGTATGAATTATACAGCCAGGCAATGCCACTCAAAGCACCCAACCCACCTCCTCCAGAGCCCCTGGCCAGGCAGCCCACCTCGGGAGCGTCCTCTCTCCGTCCTTCACATCACCACCTCGCTGTCCCCCACAAGGCTACTGGTCCTTCCCGCCCAGCACCGGGCCTCTTAGGTGCTGCACTCCGAGCTCCACAGCTCCGGTGCAAACACCTGCAGACCGGCAGAGAGATGCTGCCGTAGGCCCCCAGCAGAACTGCAGAGAGGCCTGTGGCTCCGCTCCTCATGCTTCAGGGCCACAGGCTGGCTCCCTACAGGGGCCAGGAAGAACTCACAGCTCCGGCTCTGCAGGACTGGCCAGGTACAGTAGCGGGGGCTGCACAGCACTCGCCCCATCTGCATAGCGCCTCAAAGCACTGCTCAGGCCTCAGCCCTGCCTGAAGTGGGGAGAAACCACGGCACCCACCCCAGGCCGCACAGCGAGTCAGCCACAGAGGCAGGACTAGAACCCAGAAGTCCGGAGCTCTAAGCACACGGCCTTGGGGGGGGGGGGGGGAGCTCACCCGCTCGCTCCACTACTGCCAGGGCATGTTCTGGCTCCCCCAGCCTGAGGTGCTTGCTGCACGCAACCCCGGGGCTGCGAAATCCAGCCAGAGCCAGGCCTCCCCACTGACCCAGTCGCTCACCCTCCCAGCGCGAGGGCCAGGGACCCGGGGGATCCCCCTCCCCGAGCCCTCCTGGGGCCGCAAGGAGCTTGGCCCCATTCCCGAGGCAGCCCCCATCTCCCTGGGGCCGTGGTGGCTACCCAGAGCCATGCTGCAGAGCGCGAGAGTCACACAAGCTCCCCAGGCAACCCCTCCGCACGAAAGGTCCCCAGCGACCCGGGTCCTGGAGCTCTTTCCCACTCCCCGCATCGCAGGGACCTTCCCGCCACGGCCACAAGGGGGCACTGGAAAGCAGCCCAAGCCCAGGGACCAGCCTGCTTCCCCGAGTCCGTAACCGGTGGCACAGGGGCTGGCAGGGAGGCCCCACGTCGGGAGCCACAGCTACCCAGTGACCCCCTGTGACGAAGTGGGGGATTTGCTTGTTTTCCGGGGGTTTCCAATGGTTTGCATGCGGAGGGGGTGGGACTCAGTTTCCCTGGGTGTTACTGGTTTAACGAGGGGAGGGGAGAGGGAGTTTGTTGTTACAGAGGACCGGGGCACCCCCCACGGACCACACGGGGCCAAGATTGGGCACGATCTGTGAGTCCGTGACACCCCCTGACACCAGCAGGGCAAGCCAGAGACTGACCTGCTCCTGCTGGAAGGGGGCATCAGGCCTGGGGGCAGTGCAGGGGTAGGCCCCTCGGGGCGCTCAGGTCACCCAGCTAGCAACGCAGGAAGCTCAGCGTGGTCAGCTCCGGTGTTTCTACCCGGCGGAGCAGCCCCACTCGCTGCAGGAGCAACACCCGAGCCCACCGCTGCCCCCAGGGGTCTCAGCCAGGTCCCCGCAGAGCACAGCCCGTTCTGGAGCTGGGAACTGGGCCCAGCTGAATGTGGTTCCCCAGGTGGATCAGCCTGTGCCCCCCCCCCAGTGCCACACAGGTGAAGGCAAGTGAGGGCATCTCCCACGGGAGAGCGCACGCCACGGACAGCCCCCGTCTTGTGGACCCCCCTAGAGGGAGCATCTCCACCGCAGAGCTGCGTCGGTCACTTGGGGCGATCATAGGGGAGGGTGCCCCAGTCCTCCCTGCTGCGCCAGCGCTAAGCCTGTCCATTTACATAACCTGCCTGAGATGGAACTGCAGGGGGTCGTGCCACCCCAGAGCACTGGCACTGTCTAAATGCCCAGGGATGGGGGGGAGCGTTTCCCGGAGCAGCCTGCAGTGACAGAGAGCAGGAGAGGAGCGCGCATCCACGGGGAGGGGGCTGTGCTGAACAGCTCAGGCCCCCAGCTAACGACGGGCACAAGCAGCAGGGACAGCCGCTCCGATGCCGCCTTCGCTTGGATCCTGCCACCCCCCGGCCCCGTGGTGCAGCGTTACACAACAGGTAGAGATGGAGGGGGGAGCCGGGCCAGGCATGCTGCAGCCTGGCTGGAGAGGTGCTCAGCCGGCCAGGGCCCCCGCCTGGCACCGTGCCCCCAGGTGAGCAGGCTCCCTGTCCCCTGAGCGATCCTACCCCAGCGCTCTTCCCAGCCCTCGCCGAGTCCCGCAGCCAGGAGACCCCGGCGGCTCCGGCTCACCCCAGCCTGGTGCCCCCCAGTTCCCCCGAGCGTGCACGTACTGCTGTAGAGGGTGTCGATCCAGGAGAGGCGCGCCAGGCCCCGGTGGCTGAGCGGCTCCATGCTCGGGGAGGCTCGGCTGGCTGTCAGATCCTCGGCCACCGACACATCTCCCAACAAAGGCGGCGAGGGGAGGGAGGGAGGGGAGCGGGGGGGGGGCCAGGGGGAGCGGGGCTGGGGCGGGCTGGCAGGCACCCGGGCAGCAGCGGGTCACGGCGGCCGGTGAGGGGAGCCCGAGCCAGCCCCTAGCCTGCAGCATGGGGCTGCCTGCCGGGAGGAGAGGCTCCACTCCGGGAAGGAGCTGCCAGTGCCTGCCAATGGCAGCCTGCACCTCCCCCCGCCTCCGCCGGGAGATGGGGCGGGGAGCGGAGCCAGCCCCACATGCAGGGAAGCTGGGGAGGGGGCAGCGAGCCCCTCTCTCCGTGCTCCGGCGCCCTGGCCAGAGTCGCCCCCAGGCGCCGCGCTGCAGGGCAATGGGCTCAGCTAGGCTGCTGCCCTGCACCTCAGAGGTGGCTGCATTTCAGCATCGCTGCGCCTGCCCCGGCACAGGTGACAGCTGGGGGCGGGGGGGGTACCCCATGCGTGGGGCAGCACTGGGCTCGGCAGGCTACCGTCAGTGCCCTGAGTTTGGGGGGGGGGTTCCCTGCTGCTTCGGAGCCCCTGGCATCATGCTGCCAGTGCACGGAGGGGGAGGAGGGAAGAGGCTGCGGAGACGCTGCCAGATGGGCAGGTGGCTGCAGGTGACAGTTAGCTAGGTCTGCTGCATCCGTCAAGGCCACTGACCCCCTCCCCCAGCCACGCCGTCAGTGTTTTTAGGGGGTGGGAGACGGGTAAGGGGGGCCCTGTGGATGGCCCAACCTGGGCATCCTGCACTGTGCCCGCTCTGCAGACTGAGAACCCACCCCGGCACCTCTGCCCTGCCCTGCAGGGACCCCTCGAGGCAGCCCAGGCATGGCTTCCATTCACCAGCCAGGGGGGCCAGCAGTGCCAGCTGGCAGGGTGATGCCCGTCCACTGGAAACCAGGCTGAGAACCAGCCAACTCATTTCACACCGACCAGTGAGCAGCCGGGACGTAGCCACTTCCCAGCACCAGCGGGCCCTGCCACACTGTGGGGAAAGGCTCCGCGTCCCGGCCCCAGTGGCAAGGACAGCGGGCCCCAAAGAATGATCCGGAGGGAACATGGGGCACGTGGGGAGAGCGGAGCCGAGGGGCACGATTGGCCCTGGGACATCAACCATCTTCGTAGTCACGGGAGCCAACAGCAGCCGCGGCAGCGAAGAGATGCACACAGCAGGGGAGGGCGCGCACGGATCCATTTCTTTCCTCTCCTCCCCTTCCTGGGGCACGTCAGTGCCAGGCCCCCTCCTGACTGCAGCCGGGCACAGCCAGAAGGCGTACGGTGTGTAACCAGCACCCCCAGCCCTGCCACTCGCCAGGACAGCGAAGTGGCCCAGCCAGCCCTGGATGTGGCATAGACGCTGCTGCCTCCGGGCCCTGCGCCACCCTTACCGAGGGGCGCTGGCGTTTCCTGCACCCTGCGCTCACTGACGAGCCCGTCTGCAGCTGGTGAGGTCCAAACATTTTAGTGCTTTGGACGTGATTTGTGTTAGAGGCAGCTTCTGAAACGAGACCTCCCTCCCCGTCCGAGCGCTGGGACCCGGCCCCCTCAAGGCACGGTTCTGCCCGCTGGGCTGTGCGCCAGCCAGGAGGGCCCTGCCTCGGCAGGGAGTTGGGGCGGGTCCAGGTACTTGACGGGGGCCCCCCACCTGGAGCCTGGCACAGGTCCGGCATCTGCTCCAGAAAGAAGCCTGGGGTCACGGGAGTGGCAGCACAGAGCCAGCAATGCTCAGATCCCCCCCACAGAACAGCCAAACTGCCCCCCTGGAAGCCACGAGCCAGGGGCACGCTCTGGATGGGAGCCCTGCAGAGGTCGCTGGGCATGCTCGCCCGAGGCCCGGAGCTTCCCCGGCTGGCTCAGCTGGCGCCACCTTCCCAGCACGGGAGGGGAGCACCCTGGCCAGCGGCTCTTGTCCTTCCCCTCACGCCATGCACCCACTGCACAAACTGCGGCCCAAGCCGGACGGCCCCGGGCAGGTCGCCTACACTAGGGGAATGGGGACAGGACGCCTGGGTTCCATTCCCAGCTCTGCCTCCGACTCGCTGGGTGACCGTGGGCTTCGTGCCTCAGTTTCCCTCTGTACAACAGGGATGATACGTTCCTGCCCCCCCATAAAGCACTGAGAGCTCCACAGACTGACAGCCCCAGACGGGTGCTCCTACCCCAAGGGACACAGCCCGCTCCCTCCCACCCCCCGCCCCGCCGGCAGCCCTAGGAGAAAGGCTTCTTCTTCGAAGCCTGTCAGCCCCGCCGAAGCCTCAAGGGCGAGACGGGAGCCCACGGACGCCGGTGCCTGTCCCCACGTGCACCACGCCTTGCACCAGGGCAGAGGCACCAGAAGAGGAGCTGCCATCGGGGGGAGACTATATCCCCACGGGTCTGGGAGAGAGCAGCGCCTGACGCCTCACCACAGAGCCGGCTCCCCGGGCCCTGCCAGGGCCATGCCAGCTCCATGTCCAAGCACAGCTTCCGCCCTGCCAGATGTCACACTCCGGGCTCCGAGCAGCCAGCCCACCCGGGCCATCCCCCCGAGCCGGGACGCAGAGATTCCAGACCCACGGCTCTGCGCCCCAGCCGTGTCGGCCCCAGTTCTGCAGGAACCCAGAGAAGCCACCCTGAGCTCGGACAGGAAAGAGTTAAACGTCCAGCCCGCTCTGCTTTTAGCCCAAGGAAACGCGAACTGCCTGAGCCATCAACCCCAATATGTCAGCACGCCAGCCAAGCGTGCAACCCGGAGACTGCCCTGGTGCAGCTCGTGCCGGCGCGTCTGCCTGTCTGTCCCCGAGGCGCTGGACTGGCAGCGATCCCACACCCAGCCATCCCATGAGGAGAGCGCTCCCTCCGCGATCGCGGACGTGGCAGCCACAGCAAGGCCTCGGCTGGACCCGGTCATGCCCACGGCGGGAGCCAGGCACTGGGGCAGGGGGTTACACACCGGGGCCTGGCTTGGAGGGGGCAGGGAGCCACTCAGACTGAAGTGCCAGTGCACGGGAGGCACCCAGCGCCATGTAGAGTTACAGCCCCACGTCGGGGGCAGGCCTTCCCCATGCCAATCCCAGGGCACAGCATGTCACCCCACACACAGCCCCAGCCATGTCTCTGTCTCTGCAGAGCCGGCTCACGCTCGCCCCGCGGCGCTCAGGGACAGCAGCGTTGAGCATCAAACACAGCAAGAGGGTCTCTCGGCCACGGCTAATCCAAAGGCACAGGGCGTGGGCTGTGCACCCTCGACGGGCACCAGGAGTGGCACAGTCCTGGACAAGCCTGTGCCCCGGCCCAAGCTGCCAGTCACCCGGCAGGACCAGAGGCAGCCAGCGTGGCTTTTCCGAGAGCTTTGGCAGTTCAGGGGCTGCAAGGCAGAGGGCCGTTCCCCACGCCCAGGCAATCTCCCTGGTGCACTGCTATTGCTTCCTGGCCAGCCTGCACCTGACTGGGCTGGCTTGGGAGGAGCTGGGGCCCGATTACCATCTGCCATCATTGCCCGGCATAGCCTGGGTCCTCGCAGCCCCAGAGCCGCTAGCCTCCCCGGCGCTCTCTGCGCAGTCCTGGGCGCATGGCCGGAGAGCAGGGCCCTGGCCAGCCCTCCCCGTGTGCCCTCACCTGGGCGTGTCTCCCCAAATCACCTCCCTGCCATCACAGGCCTCCCTCCTTTGGCTAATGCTGGCAGGCGGCTGGGCATGGGGGTGGGGCTGGTGGCTCGCTGCGATACACAGGAGGAACTAGGGGGAACTGGCAGGTGCCCCTGGCCTTTAGCTCTATGCCCCTGGCATGTCCCGTCCCCCCGTCTGAGCACCTGCCCCCGGGGGTTACGCTCTAGCCAAGCACCCAGACATTGGGCTGGGCCGCACCAAGGACCATGTGTTTACGGGGCACCTGTGCATTCCCAGAGAGCCCTGGGGTCAGGTCAGTCCCTGTCCCCATCCCTCGCTGTGTGCTGTCCTGCCTGCCAGGCTAACCAAGGGCTGCCCTGTCCCCCACGGACCCCCATTCCACCCAACACACCCACGGCCAGCGGTTCACGCCCCCTGCCCCCGCAGCGCTCACTGGGCCAATGGCAGCGGCGGGGCGGGCAGTGCCCTGGGCCCAGGGAAAGGAGGCTGGGCACTATGCTAGAGGAAAGCCATCACGGCGGGGAGCCCGGAGCCGCTAGCAGGATTGACACAGCCCCGGCGCCAGGGGCTGCTCTGTGTCCCCATGAGGGGCCCAGGCTGCCCCCCCACCCCCGGGCTGGCAGGTTGGATCGGCACCAGAGCCCACCTCCCCCCTGGGCTCATCGCCAAGCCGAGCAGTGAATCACCGGGCGGTGAGTCACCGGCACACGGCGCAGGCCGGGATGGCGCCCGGAGAGCTGCGATTATCCAGGTCTCTGTACGGAACTGAGCAGCTCCCCCCACGCAGCCAGTGCCCCTCCCTACACAGCGTGCCAGAGTCCGGAGGGGGGGGCCACAGGCCTCCATGGCCAGGCCAGCAGAGCTCCCCCGCCCGCACACAGGCCAGAGCAGGGACCTCAGGCCCCATTGCAAGGTCCTGTTCCAGATCTGAGCCCTGCCCTGCTCTCTAGCGCCCCTCTCTGGCCTGCGCACAGACTAGCTGCGGCCAGACCCCCTCCCTCCAGTGCAGAGGAGCCATTCACAGGACAAGGAGTCTCCCCGCTCGGAGGCCGACAGGAGCCTGGATTCTGGGGTGAGCGGCACCCGCTCGGCAAGAGGCGATTGCCCCCAGCGGATTGGGGGGGATCCCAGCTCCATTCCGCCCCCCAGCACTCTCAAGAGCACACAGCAGTCCCCTGCCCTTGCGCTGCACTGCTGCGCCCCACACCAGAGGTGGCCGCACTTCTCCCTCCGTGCCTTATTAAGAATTCCGCCAGCGACGGGCGCAAAGCGCTCCAGGGGCCCTGTGGGGTGAAAGCACCATAGAAACAGGCCCCGTCATCCTGCTGGGATGAGATGCGGAGGCGGGAGGAGGGGGTGGATCTTTAAAGAGTCACTGC